CGTCTTCCCTCTAAAAATTTCGTCTCTTATATAACAATTAACCTCCTTCTCTTTGCTTAACATTTGTCGTAAAACTGTCATACAACTGCGAATATAACCACAGATGTATCGACTTCCGATGTGTGTTTAAAACAAATGCGAATCTGATAGCGATAGTCTACTGTTTTACACGAAACGTAATTTTTTAACATTACGTATGACAACCATAACCTACAACGTACAATGCACAAATTCATATCTTCTGAGCAATTTCTCACGCAAAATGTGTTAAATATGTTAATTTAAAACATGATCTTGTCGACTTCATGTGTCCTTTCTGCTGTCTGGAATTCTGGCCAAATTACACGGCAGTTCACGTAACTTGTACGGTGTAATGGAGGATAAGATTAGAGGCAAATGATTATGTGACGACGAACAGAGCTATTCATTCACAAAACGTGTTGCTATGCGATCTCATTATTCTGTTTAATAACGAGAGACTTCAGCGCCTTCAACGGGTAGACAACCAATGGCCTTTGTCGAAATGTGGTTCCTAAAATTACGTAGGAATAAATGAGCTCATGTTTCCGCTGGTATGAGAGAAGGCTACACACCGGAGAAGCAATAATCCAGGAAGTCTAAAAAGAATAATCTACTGTTGTGTGATATTTTGTCCTATTTCTGTTTCCGAGAATGGATTTAATTGAATGTTGTACTCTAAACCACATCCAAATCCTATTGCATATAAACGAGATAATCATTCTTCCACACTATGTTCTCTGCCTATGTTGTGTCTGCGTACTGAGTCCTAACATGAAAAGCGTTTATTTCAGATTCACTGATTCATGCTGTTGTGAACGGAGCGCGAACTCTTCGTGTGACAGCTGCTCCTTCCTCGTGTTGCCTTGATCTGCCGATAACATCATGAGGAAAGGTGTAGCCTGGCGAGATTGGACTGGCTATGAAACAGATGCTACGCCACATAACTATCCTGGATTTTACGGACTTCTGGTGCAGGAGGCAGACACAGCGAAGGATGGATGTTATTTTCGGTGCGTGGAGTACATTAAGATGCCAACCACGCTCCGCTCGTGTGCCTTGCCTTCGGAAGGGCAGGCAGGTGTTGTTTGCAGCTGCCGGCAGGTGGCAGGCGAGATGATCTGGACCACATGACGAAAACAAGTGAAGACGTGACCCCGACCATCTGCACGAGTATTACGGGGTTCGACCGAGGGCCACCAGTGTCGCTGACACACTTCCGGCCCTTGGTCAAGTTCAAGACCATCTGATAGCGGGCAGCTTCAGGCTTCGTTGCACAAAGCGATGGGTGGTTAGGTTATGTGCGGTGATATTACAAGGAGCAGTCAGGCAGCGTTGATGGGCGCTCGACGAGGAGGGGGTTTTCTTTTCAGTCACAGACAAAACCATGGCACCGAGACCCTGGGAAAAGCGTGTTAATAAATGAAAATGAACATTCTTACACTTCTCAACTTTCTCGAATTCCCAACTCTTCTTTTCGCTGTCTTTTCATTTTGATTTAGTTTACCACACTGTTTTCTTTTTATTCAGAACACAGCACAGCATAAAAATTAGAATTCCAACACTGTGTGAGCCGGTGATCTTTTGGCCAACCATGGCAAGTTTATAAAACTTCTGCCAACATATGTTTTTACACGAATTAAATTTCCCGGTGCCTTTAAATCAAACAGCAGCATTGTCTCTTAATGATGGCGGTATCAAACAAACGAGCATCTGACTCCGTCTTCAAGACTGCGTTTCCATGTACTTACCAAAAACACAGTGTGGCTCGCAATATAGTCTCTTAATTGCTAAACAAGTGATTTTGGTTAAATTAAAATTAAAGTTGTTAAAGTGTATTAAATACGCATAAGCCTGCGATATTTCGTTTTAAATTGGACTGCAATGAAAAACTGGAATTGCGGATTGGCAACTTGATAAATACAATCACGTATAAAAGTGTAACCAATTACAAGAGAGAAACACAAAAAGCAATGTAGCAATTCTGAAATCGTTGCGGGAAAATCACAAAAAAAAAAACACAGCTGCATTCTCGGCAGGTAAATGGTTCTCAAATGTAGAATTCACCGCCGAAATCAGTTTTCAGAACACAACAGCTTCAAACAACTGACGGCCGAGACGAACTGTAAGACACAGCAGGGACAATAATTAGGAAATAGCTTATCAGAACGACAAATTGTACTAATGTTGTTGAATTAAGGAATATAAGAAAATATCAAGTTATTAACAGATGTAAATGGTAGGTAAAATTAGTCAGATATAAGTGGGAATTGGGAAGAGCAGGTTAGGTTTGTAGTTACAAGAATATTTTGTGAAACAAAAGAACAGCGCTATTAGAGACCGTTATATTGGGCTGTTGCCCGTAAATACCTGGTGTTAGAGGGGACACAGTCAGCTATATAAGGAACTGAACACAATAAACGGATGATGTGCGACAAAAGAGCTGAATTATGAATAATACGGGGCTGATAGTAAATTTAAAAAGAAACCTATGATCTCTGATGTCAACACAGAGGTTGTCTGGGGTTCTTCGTTGCACAACCTCGCTAACACTTGTGAACGCACCTCACGGAGGTAACGAACTAGCCACTGCAAGGTCAAAGATGATAGATTAGAGCCGGAAGTAGCACAGGAAATTGTCTCCTGCCTCATCCCTAGCACTGTAATGTTACGCAACTCTTATCTCAGCTAAAGTTATGGGAAACAAACTCACACGCGGCCAGATGTTAGTTGCAGGTGAGAATTTCACAGAGTTTCTCGAACATTCTTGATATTTCGACGAGGAGTTCGAAAAGTCTGCTTTGTTGAGTATTATTGTTGTTGTGATAGAAAGATGATTTTAGCACGAAGTCTGAATTAAATATCTGACCATCGTGTTGCTCAAAAACGCCATGTTTGCGTAAAACAAATTATCTCTATACAGAGGCTGAAGTTTTCTTCGTTTCGATTTGGTTAAGCCTTCACTTAACAACAGAAAGATAAATGTTTGTTTGCGTACTGAAGTAAAATACGAATCCGAAATAGCTGATCATGTCAAAACTCATATCCAGTCACTAAATAAAGTAGTGTTTCCCTGTTTCATGAAAATTCACCAGACTGTTTTAGAACTTCAATTACACAACAGACTCTGTCGCTTAGCGACAACAAATATAAATGATTTCTAAGACGCCACTGATTGCAAATATTTCGCATTCCGAGTGTCTTCGACAGCAGTGGCCATCTTGACTTTAGAACACAATTTCGTGAGGCTGTGGATCGAATTTTGTCGCTCATATAACAGTAGCAACTGTTTTCCCACCCCTGTGTTTGCTTACAGACTCATGACGACAGTCAGTTTCGAATCACATGTTCTTCCGTCTCTTACGCACTGCATTGAATACCAGATGAAATGAAAAACAAAAGACGGTTGCCCACCCGCATAAAACACACTCAATGGAATGAAGTCTAAATGTCCTGTTTTGTGTTCACTCCTGCTGGGACTTGCAAACCCAGTTAGTTCCTTCTGTTTGTCGCTGCTGTCCGCCTGCACTCAGTCACGTGTAAAATTGGTCGAATCTGAGACCCGAGTTTGTGACGGCGGTGAAGATGGTTATGTTGGTCTTCTTTGTGGCGCCGTGTGAACTTGTTGCTAGATAAGTTTCGGAGGATCATAATGTCTCCATCTTCAGGTATATACCAACGTTTTGGGGGGAAAAAATATGGTGTCTCCATCTTTAGAAATCAGTCTTCTGAAAGTGACAATTTTTCTCCGAAACATTTGTAACGCAAGGCATTTACAACTCGGAAGAATAACATTGACACTTTGTAAAAGTTACTCACAGTTCAGATTTTTCATTGCCTTGCACTTATATGTCCCATTTCCTGAAACTTCTTTCAAGGGGCAGATAAAACCAATAAAAATGCTGCATTTTACAGAACCCAACCAAGGTCTCCCAAGTCATTCCATCCCTCCAAGCTTTCTGACGGATACTGTGCATTCCTTTTGCCACAAGCATCTTTGTAAGTAAAAGTAAAGCTGTCCCACTACACGCCATGTAGACACTTGTGAAGAGAGGCGTATAGCTCCTACTAATTCTTAACCTCGGCACTAGATGGGGGTGACTGGTCGTCATGCCCCGACAGTGCTTTACACCCGGGAAAGGACCCAGATACCCATTAGATAAGAGGCTTGGTGGGCTCCAGAGCCAGTCTGGACGCAGAGCCTAGAGGGAAAATCCTCTGCCGAAGTCGGGGATTGAACCCCGGTCGCCCAGTCCGTAGACAGTCACTATACGGACTGACCTACCCCGGCTCACGAAACAAAACTGGTAGTTAATTTAAAATTTTTAATACCCTATAAAAGCTGAAATGATGAAAAACTCTAGTAATAAAATCCAAAATTCATGACTGCTAAAATAAAATAAAAAATCACCAGTGGATCACTTCTGAGACAGTTTCATGTGTATGAGGCCTGTAATATCTCTTGTGACCAAAATCTTTATTTTAATTACTTGCGAGATCAGTCTTCCCCCCACAGAAGATGAAAATAGCTTGCAGGATAATGTACATGACGATCTGATCGCTGTGGTGCACCTGGTAGTACAAACGGTACAATCAGAAAAGCCAAGAGGCTTTCATGTGTTTCGGTTAAGGATCAGCCTCAATATTAATTATTTAATTAATTACAATTACATTTTAATCACCATCTGCAAGTGCTTCATTCATTTGCGGAAAGCACCGTCTAGCAATAAACAATGGTTAGCTACATATCAGAGACACTACTTAATATATTCATATGTTTTCTAAACTGTTCGTTACTGACGCCATATTATGAGAGCCATCTGTAAATTGAGCTACAAGAACATGGTAACACCTGAATGACATCTGAAACTTCCGACTCTAGGAATTTTCATGAAAAATGCAATCATGAAAATAATGAGGAAAGGTTGGAGGATCGAGCAATCGTATTATTACGAGCACGTAACGCTACAGCGCAGACTGGCTTCGGGGTTTTCATTTTCTTGTATTTGTAGTTCAGAAAGTTCATTGTGAATATGAACAATTTTAATATGTACAATTATTTCCATATCCTAACAGAGAAGCAACACATAATCTTCAAATTCTTCTCAAACATCCCTTACACAGTGATACCCACTTCTCCCAAGATGTCCGACAGACGGCTCAGATGGGTGTTGACTGCCCCGTAGTCGGGTTCTGCCTGGCTCCGGTGAACGAGCTGAAAAGCATTCATGTATTCGAGTTCCGAGAACTGCGGTCCCTTCTCCATGACTCCACTCAGTATCTCCTGTAATAGCATATTTCAGTAATGCACTCTCTGCTCATGTGGTCCACTTCAGCGTTGTAAAAGATTCCACGCCACAGACGTCAATACCATTCACACTACAAATAAACTGGTTAAAACACTCCATACACTACTTATAATGGTTCAGTTTGTCTGACCACTAATAGATGGCAGCACAAATATATAACACTGATACGTGATGGGATGATCTGATTAAAAGACAAGACAGAGTGATGTAACCTACTGCCTGGACTGGGATATTCTAAGGAGAGCAAAATCATGGATTTTTAAGGCATGCAGATGGGGCCATGTGTGGATTGGTTCAATAGACTTCCCCACAGACTTTTTTTTTCATATCCAGTACACACTGTTCAGCCAATGTTGAGTGGTACGTGAAGTAAGTAAGAAATCAAAAGATAATATTAACATAAATAAGTTTTCCCTGAACGCATCTGGTTAATGGTACATTTAATGCGTTAAATTAGAATTAGTGGTGCGCTGGCGAAAAAGGGTGAGAATCCCTGCTCTAGTGCAAACATATCCATGTCTTAACATAGAAAGGAGATCTTCAACGACACCGAGTCATTATGCGACTGTCACAAGGAAACTGCGAGGGGACGTGAAGGGCAGAGCCTTCAAAGGACTTTCCAAATGGGAAACTGACCTCTGGTGCAAGGTAGAACAACTCAAAGTAGTGGCGCGCGTGGTCCAGCGCGATCTCACGAGCCATCGTGATGTTGGTGAGCGTCTGCTGCAGGGCAAAGATGTTCCGACACATCTTCTGGATGCCGCGCTCATCGATGCGGTCAATGTACTGCGCAGAACTTATCAGGATTTTGGCAATTAAATGGCCCAGGCCTTCAAATATGTACTGCAATGACAGGAAAATTGTCCTTAACTAACGACATCCCTGATAGATCCTTTACTTAGATGTTAACAAACAACCACTGGGCAGACCAAGATCAAAGTGGAGAGATCAAGTGAGGAAATATATACAAAAGAAAGTAGGAAAGTGTGGATACAGACACAAGAAGACTACTTGAGGAAGAGAAGAGAAGAATGAAGGATTTATCGCAGGATGATCCATCATGGTAAAATTATTGCCGTACGATATTTGTGGTGGTTATTGTAAATATAAGTGAGATAATTATGTAAAATTACAATACAAAAATTACAGGAACATGAAATACAAATGATACCTCAGTAAGAAATGAAGACAGACAGACTACAGACTGTTAGTGAGTTCATACCTTCAACTTGCGAGGTTGCAAGCTCGAGTTCATGGCCTCATCAATACTGATCAGAACACGACTCAGCTCCAAGACCTTGGGGTCTGGCTCCTGGGAGTCCACCCCACCCACCAGACGGTTGTAGTTGTTGGCGCGCGGCAGTAAGTAGTGGAAACACTGCACTCGCACCTATGACAGGACAAGACTTGACAACGACGTGTTTTGATGTTAACTGTGATCTTGTGAGACATGTTACATTCATTTTATCTTTTAGTCTGCTAAGAATAAAGTACTTCTAGACAAACGGTAACATACAGAGGACTGACGACCGAAGGTTAATATCAATCACAAAAACAAACTACTATGACTGAAAACTAATTTTATATAATATTAAAAAATAAACAGGAAAAAGCATGTTCGAAGTACAAGATCTGAAAGGACACTTCCAACAAAAGCAGAAAACATTAACCCAGAAAGACTTCAGCCTGCAGGTCACATTCAAGCCTCAGCAGCCATTTGTCTGATTTGCAAAGTCACGTGAATCATCTGGTGCTATTGCGTTCTGCTGTGGTCACGTACTTAATTAATATTCAACAGTATACTATGAAAGACACAAGCATGTTTGTGATGTACATCACCAAATAACTCATCAATATGTGTAGGAGGAACGGACAAAGATATAGCAAGTTTCCTGAAGAAACGTGCACATAAAAGATATGAACTTGATACAGTCACATACCTCATCTAGCAGCTCACCTCAAGGTGTAGCACCAACAGACATGTGTTGGCAAGCTCCTCAAACTCTTGGGCTAGCTGCATCAGAGCTCGAACTGAGGTCTCTGGCATGGCCGGAATACCCACTGAGGCGACGTGCACCCTCGGAGATGAGGCAGGGGCGCTAGGCAGCTCTGATGCAAACAGCAGGATGGATGTTGAGAACCACTCCTGCAGCAAAGGTAGCGAGTGTGAGCTGTACATGACAAGTGTGCACACAGCTTTGCAAGAATGTGCACCATACTAGTGCACACAGCTGTCAATGACACACATGCTCCAAACTGTAACTATACATGCCATGCTTTCCTGAAGTTGTGCCAGTCCCTTCAACTGTCCCACATCTGACAGAATCTCATGTGCGTTGATGCCGCCTTCTCCTAGGTTGCTGGCCAGTATCTCTGCCTCCTTCATGTTGCGCTGACGGACGTCCTCTGGGCTCTCCTCCTCCGTCGTCTCCTCACGCCTGAGTGGCCGGCGTCTACGGTATGTCACTTTCTGTGCCTGCAGGTCTGTCCAGTTTGGTAGAGATCTGTGAAAAGTATCAGATGTAAAAGTATGAGCTCAATTCAATCTGGGGGAAAAAAAAAGAAAACAAAAGAAAGAAAGAAAGACCAATTCTTCTTCCTGGCATAGTAAGCAAATCTGTTAATTTAAAATGCTCTTATCTCAAAAATGTCTGTATGTTTATGTCTAGTTAAAGCTTAGTCACTGCTTTTCCTATTTTAATATTCTTTTGGTATATTTTCATAACCTGAACTGCGCTTTGTTCGGCTACTGAAATTCAACCTCTTAGGAGCAGGGCATCTGAAGTTTCATACAATACAGCCTGAAGTCAGCTGTAAGTGGATTTGAAAAGTACAGAGTAGAAGGCAGTGATCTCCCTGTGCCTTAACATAATGCTATGACAAAAGTATGAGATGGAGGTATAACTCCACGCATTCTAGACATTGACACTATACAGCGTGTGGCACTCGCTGGACTGGATGGGTGAGTCTCAGAGCTGTTCTGGACACTGTGGCGTTAAAGAGAAAAATCCCAACACACTTGCAGAGATGTGGAATCCCTGTTGACCAGTAGATGTCTTCTGATCTCCATTCACCATTTTTGATGGTCCAATACAATAACGTGATTGACCCAACCAACTCACTTGATGAAACGGCTGATGTCTTCATCTTTGAGCCAGGCAGCACTGCAGATGCGCTTGTCCTCCGAGTCAGGCTGCACAATTCCACGGTATGCAGCTTGGCATGTCTCGCGGTAGTTGCGCAAGATGTTGCAGATGATAGACAAGAAGTGCTCTGCATACACCGGCAGTGCCTGCATCAGTTCCCGCAGATCCTGGATGCAGCGTTCCACCATTACAGTGCTCTGTAAAATTAAAGTGGGTTTCAACAGGTACCTTGGTTTATTTAACAACATATTCTCTGTCTCATATGTTTCACAGGTCCCACAGCATCAAACAGTTATTATAAATCACAAACCTGTCTGTGTCAATGCATCATGTTGTGAAGGTCTTTAGGGTGTCCCTCTACACATTCTTAATTTCAGCACAAGATGATAGCCCTTCACAGTTTTTGACAAAAAGTTGCATATATTTCCCATAATTCTCATGTTACATGACAATTATGTTAAATCATATCCTGCATATTTCCATCACTCACAACTGGTATGGTACAGTTTAGGGTTCTGAAGGAGTAGACATTACAGGTTTCAGAAGTTGTCATATTAACAGTGAAAATGTCATAAATTTGTCACCATACAAATTCTACACGTCAGATTATGATAATAATAAATTATCACTGTCAAAATATTTTGCATCATCATCTTGTTATTACCTATTTTCCTAAAAGTAACCTTAACAACACATGCATGCCATTCCTAAGATCTGTGAACATACAAAACTTCAACATTCTACACTGAATGGCACTAATGTTATTCCTATTTCAAGTGCTCACAATGTTGCAATGCTAGTATTTTTATATCTACATTAAACAGAGATATTTCTTCTTTCAGAACCAAAGAAAAAAGCCTAGAACAAAATAGGAAACATGGTACATGATTGAAATACCTGCAGTAGTGGCCGAGACAAACCGAGATCACTCATGAGCTCAGGACTGGTAGTGGTACGCCACGCATCCAAAGACTTGGTGGCGCTCTCTATGCTGGCAGCCACCATCATGTGGTGGCGGCCAAGGAACACCTCCTTGATGTAGTCTGATAGAAATGCATTCAGAGTGCATGGATTTCCTGGGGTGCAGCCAATGGCATGTTCAATCTCCTCAATGAACTTCATGAGGGGTATGAAAATCTGTGTGATGTTACGTGGATCTGGAGTGCACACCAACAACTTCTCTCGCTGCCTTGACTGCCCAGCCTGACTATATTCCTGCCAACATAACAAGTAAGGTACAATGCTGTATAATAAACATTTATGGACGTTACAATCCTATTAACCAACAAGGTTAGAAATGTGTACTTTCTGAAGTACACTAAAATTCCAAATTTTTTCTTCATGCCACATCATGGGTGATGTCAACATGTTGCTTCATTGATAACCACAGTTCAAATGAAATGTGGGCTTATATGCTAAGCAATGTTAGAAAATACATGAGCTTGCCAACAAAGTTGACATATTATATGCTTGCAACAAACCTCCCACACTGGTGATTTATGTGAAATTTGTTCCACGCTTATTGCCTACTGATCAAAAGCATAATATTCCTATGTATCTCAACCTTCGTTCTTGTGATGCAGAGGAACCAAACTTCCCTGCTAGTATCGCAGTGGTGATAAGTACTGGTTTTATAACTATGATCCAGAAATGAAGAACAAGTGTCTCACTTCAGTATACCTTAAAAAAGTATCACAGATCCCATCAAATCTCATCATATCGTTGCCATTTTTCTATCATGAAGGCCTAGTTTACTAAGAATACCTTCCCAAAGGTAAATATGATCTACACTTTCTAACAAGGGATCTAGCACATCTGATGCAGTCAGAAGGAAAAATTGAAAACATGGAAAAATCACACCTGGCTCCTTCATTATAACACAAATCCATAAACTACCCTGTGTGTAACTGAGCATCTGGTGAAACACATTATTCCTGTGGTACCATATCCTTCAAACTCGACCACTCTGATCTCTTGTGATTTCTCTTTCCTAACTGAAAGCTGATGTTCAAGGCAGAAAATTTAACAATATTAAGGAAGTAACTGAAAATATGACACAAAAATAACAGTCCTGGCAAGCTTTCAGAAGTACCACAATCACTGGAAAAAGACTATTTTTGAAGGGGATAAATTCTAATAATGTGTAAGAAGGCATGAGTGTGTTTTTGAATTAGTCTCAAAACTCTTTGGCAGGTCTACACTGAGTCATTTTTGAGAAATTAAAAAAAAAGGCCAAGATTTAGCCTTACATGAAAGGAGTCACTGTGATCCTGTTTGGGCAGAAATAAAACTCACAAACAGTTTTTAGCACAGATTCCCCACATTTCACTGAAATCCAAAGAGCAGTTCTAAAGATGATATGCAACCTACCTTGGCACTGGAAGTTCGCTGCTCCTTTAGATAGCTGTTGATGCTGAGTGCATGTGATGAATAGTCAAATTTGAACAGTGGAACCCTCTTTTGGCGAGGCGGACGACGACGAGCAAAGTACACTGAGATGTCACTCGTGGACTCTGAAAAGGATGTTGGAGCCTGCTGAGGATCCCCAGCCATGTTTTGGATGTCCAGATAGTCAGTCAGCAGGAGCTGTAACTGTTGTATCAATACAATGTTACCAAATGTACCACAATCTCTGCCTTTTGTATATTTAAAAACACTATTCATGCACTCACCACAGCCTGCACTTTGGACCATACATCTGGCATCTCATACAGACGCACATCTATGTGATGTTTATCTGCCGCACGAGCAAAACTGCGAAGAACAGATGCATGTGCAGTAGCCACCTGTCGAAACTGGTCAAACACCGTCTGCATAAGTTCCAGCAGCAGTGATGTTGAATGTGCACCCAGACTGTGTGTTGGCTGCTGAGACAAGTCAAGTAGCTGCCGGGTGGTGCGTTTGATAATCGCTAGCAGCTCCGTTTGCATCTGTATCTTGATGCTCTGCAACAGGGTTTTGTACCCAGGTCAAGAACCACTTAGCTCCCCATAGAGGGAATTTAAATTTCTCCACCTGCTGTGTTCTGTGACAGTATCTTTAAATGTCGCATTAATTTTTATAGTGAAATTTTCAAACTGACTGATAATTTTTATATGGAATAAATAAAATATTTTAAATACAATTTCACACAAAATAAATTTATAATCTCACCCTATTAGTAGAAGATTGTAAGCATTTTGGACACCAGAAATTAGATCACAAGTGGAGACATGTTTGGTACCCATCCAAATACAATCAGGAAAACACTCTGAAAACTGTCTGTGAGGTTTAGACTTATTTCTGGTACCAGGAATCCTCTCCAGACAATAACATTCAGAGTCCTTTATGAGATGTTTCACTACATGAATGGCCATATACAAGGTAATGTTTTTCTATGAGTCCTTTGATGAGGTCAGGCATGTGAGAGGGTTAGTTTTCTTGTTAGTTGGCTACTGAATTATGAATGACAGAGATACAGCTATTTCACTGTACCGTTGTTGATAAGAAAGAGATATTATGTACTGTTTCTAAAACCAGTATTTATTATTCAAGTGACAAAGTTGGTACAGTTTACCTAGTATAATACATTTCAAAAATTCCACCGTCAATATCAAAGCACTTTGCAACTCGTGTGAGGACATGGCGTGTTGCTCGCCTGAGTGCACCTTGACGTTGGTTTACGCGGGCGATAACATCCAATAGGGAAGGACAATATTGGGCGCAAAATCCAAACTACTGTACAGTGAAATAGCTGTATCTTGGAAACCGTTCGGAATAGGACAAATATACATATAGACTTTTTTGCTTAGAATGACCGATACTATGACTTCCCAGAATATTGACCTTTCCTCCTGTATATCCCACCTACTTCAATAATCAATAACTCATTTGTATTTATGGGTTTCATGTAATTTTCACTGTAAACAGCAATTATTTCCTTAATCTGTTGATCTTTGCAATGGTAAAGTATTGTGTTTTCTCTGCAATATGGACTGAATTCTTAAATATTACTTAGATAAGCTTTGGTTTCAAAGGATTAATAATTATCCTGCTGTCCTTCACTGACCTCATCTACTGACTGAAGCTTCAGTAAAAAAAAACCCAACAAGTTCCATCTTACTTTGAAAGAAGTCCTCACCTCTACAGTGTCAGGCACACTATTCAGTAGTGCCATGCTTTCTACCAGTATTGCCATGAAGTGCTGTGACTTTGCCTCCGGATCCGCTGCATCCACATCCTCTTCCACATTGTCTGACTCGTCACCAGCAGTTGTGTGGTTTGGCCCAGGATTCATGCCAACCCTGAAACAGCCAATAGCAATCACTAAAAGCATAACAGGAGGTTCGAGGATTGTTCCTTCAGAAGAGAGTCATAACACACATACCTCACTGGTACGGTTCTGAAGAACCAAATATTTGTACAAGAAATCTGAGAAATAATTCTAGCAGGATTAAGTTCATAATTATTCAATTTAGTGGTACATTTGTGTGCATCATTTCAATTAGTACAGACTTTCAGCATCTTAAATCTGTCAGATACAGTCTCAAAGATTTGCAGAGTAACCACATCTGCAATTGTTATCATCTCAGAACAAATATATTATAAAAGCTTCAGGTAGGCTGTATTTATAATCAATATCACTTCAAAACTCATGTGCCTACCCATAACAATTCTTTAGTTACTCGTATTAAACAGTTAAACATATAAACATTTCTATACATGCATTTAATATTTTTATCCTGTTTCTATCAAAGGTCACTACAGTAACTGTTTCCCAGATATTCCTTATTTTTAAGATCTGTGCCACTTTCACAAAATAAGACGGCTGTCTTCTGCAATGTTGCAAAATGTAGGTTATGCCACCGGTTAACCCTCTTGGCAGGACTGATAGGATGGGCGCCATTGGGTGGGGGAGTAGTACTTTTTACCTTTCAATCAAACACCATTTGCTATGCTACTAATATAATTACATAAATTTAGAGATACACCTTCCGAACCAGAACCAGCTCCTTCTTGCTTGTCGCCACAGAACAAACAACGAGTTTTACTCACCCCAGCCGCAGATTACCACGAACAATATCCACATTATGGCCACAAGCGACACAGGTTCCACCTGCAACTACTGCCGTAAAAAATCTACGCAAGACAATAATCTTGCACCTTATATAGAGTTTCTAAGGATGCTCAAGATGATGTGCGTCCCGGGAACCACCCTGAAATTAGCGCTTCTCAATGGTCACATTGTTCGTTCTGCATTCTACGTCCATGTATGGAAGACACGTGTATACCTTGTTCAACCTGTCACTAAGACCCTTTAAATGCTGATGCACGCAGTTGGAGTGATCCTTGCTATTGCATTGTCGGCAAAATTCCAGTTGCAATCCCACGCTTCACACTAGATGTGGGACGACTACAATTAATGTTAGCAATGTTAATAACATGGTGTCTGAATATGGGTGAGAAGGGGTGCCGGCACAACACGTAGCTTGGCATTTCAGATGAGCTTACTGCCTTTAACATCATGGTGATGATGGAGGCAGCATGTTCCTCTGATATGTCAATCAGTATCTATCAGACTACATGACAAAGCATCCCAGAAGACAGTCACCTTCATATTCATTGCCATAAAAAAGTAAAGTAAAGCTGTCCTGATTCACGCCATGTAGGCATTGGAGGAAAAGGAGGTATAGCTCCTACTCATTCTTAACCTCAGCACTAGATGGGAGTTAGTGGTCGGCCATGCTTTATCCCCAGGAAAGAACCCAGGTACCAATTGGATAGGAGGCTTGGTGGGCCCCAAAGCTCGTCTGGATGCAAAAACTAGAGGAAAAACTCCTCTTCCCCGTTGGAATCGAACCCCGGTCATCCAGTCCATAGCCAGTCACTATACTAACTGAGCTACCCCAGCTCCACTCACTGCCATGAGAACCTCAAATTTCACACCAGAAGTTTACAGTTTTGAAAGTTGTAGAGGTCAAATGGCAGCACACATTAGGAACTTAACCCATAGCCCATTCCATCTAATTCATATAATGTGCTGGTTACCTGGGTGAAGAAGCATTTGGGAATGGTACGCTCACATCCAACAAAGTCAGTCTTGTTTTTGATACTCGCGCAGATCCACGTAGCTCCCCTGCACGTTGGAAAGGTGAATTAAGAGGGTTACCATCTCGGCCACTGCCCTGCCTGCGCAGAGCTACCACATCTTGTGTCGACACAATATACAGATGTCGTGTCAGTTCCGCCAGCAGCCGAGAATGCAATTGCTGTGACCACAAACACAAAATATGATTCAGATCATGCTACACCACATCACTCAACAAACTGAAACATGGCAAGAGCATTCTGTTGATTCATATCATAGTTGGTTTAAGACAAACATGAAGAAAACACTGGATTCATTACCATTCCAAAAGTTTCTATTTGCAGAACACTTATTGGCCTTAAATGTCATGATTGGACCTCATGTCCAAGATCAATAACTATTATAAACTCTGTTTAACTCTTTGAAGCCTAATCAATAATTCTGAATTTTGCCCACAAAATATCTTTATGAGTTTTGTATGATTCACAAAGTAAACAGTAACTGTTTTCTCAAACACAATAAGCAACGGATCTTTATAATGGAGATGTATTGTGTTTTCTTTGAGATATGGACTAAATGTTCAAACATTACAGAGATACACTTTGACTGCTAAGGATTAACAATGTTTACATGAAGACAACATACCATTTAAAATTCCTAATTTTTATATGATATGACTATTCTATTCTGGTATTCTATATAAATATCTGTCATTAGAGCAAATACAGAAATATGTGCACTGAAACACTAACACTACTCAAAAACAGTTCAGAAATATGTTTTAGCCCAAGTCCTGCTAAAGGTAAACCCAAAATCAACTAAATATATCTGCAGCCGGCATAACGTCACAAGGAAGGGGTAGTAAAGGTAATGTATTACCAGGAAATAGATGTGCAGTGAGAGAAACCTGCTTGCAAAATTTTAGTACATTCAGACAAACACCACCACAAGAAACAGCAGTGACTGACAAATGAAGAATACAATGAACAGAAGTACTGCTGGTTCTTCTTTGCGCAACCAGCAACCTCTTTTCAAACTGAAAGTTTAAAAGTAAAAGTTCTATCTGATTTACACCATTCTGAACTACAATGATTCAATATTATGTCATCAACAAACAGGACAGTTGATCTTAAATTTACATCATTTCTTATGTCCAATATAATGTCATTTTAATTCCAGCACTTTAAAATATGATCTGTATATGTCATCTGTTGAATGTATTACAAACTAATATTATAAAACTGCACATTTTTATAATAATTATATATTCTTCTTCTACGGACGCTACAGTCCACGATGAACCTTAGCCTCTACTACGATTGGCCTCCGTTGGTCTCAATTCTGTGACTTTCGCCTCCAATTTCCAACACCCACTGTCCACTTGTAAATCCTTAATTTTTATAGGTCATCTCAAATGTTTCTGCCTGGCTGCAATCATTAAAAGCTTCTCAACAGTTAAAACTTTTTATGGGGTGGAGATGCCAGCCCTATGCCCAACCCCCAACCTGGAGGACCAGGATATCCCTTTCTGTCTGGGTCATCACCTTTGACCTGTCCAGCACAGGAGGCCCTACCAGTAGCTACACTACTGCCAGCATAGCTCACAGGAGCATATGACCACACAAGCCCCACCACTACCTGCAGAGGGGTAAATTCTTGACTAGCTTAGCTTCAAAAGGAGTATACATCAAATAAAAGGTTAAATATGTGTGGCACATTGGAAGCCAAGCAGAAGCATCCCAGTACTCACATGTAAGGACAGATAAAAATTTTCTAAATAAATTCAGCTTGAGAACCAGAGTGGGCAAGGAACAAGAAGGACACACTGTTCCGCTATTTGCTTGAAAGAGGCTAAGGGATGCGATTAAAAGAAGCCAGCACTGACACACACTTGTTTCTTTGCCTGAAGCTCTGTCCTCACTTCTCTCAGAGCCTCCACCCCCTCCAGGCTACCATCCCCTAAAGAGAGGGCAGACACAAGAAGCTGTGTGGCATGCAAGTAATGCTTCTTGGCGAGGAATGCGGTGAGCTGGGCAGGCACCTCACGCAGCTGGTCTCTGTTACAAAAGAAACATGTGGCATAACAGTAACGGATCTTGTTACAGGTCTCTATACATACATATATACAGCTTATTCCATACCACGGATCCAAAAGTTAGTCAGATGACAACAGGGTGTAGAATAAGTCTTAATAATACAATATATTACACATATTACAAGTAAAATTCATACTATTATAACACTTCACATATTATATACATGATAACAAGCCTTTAGATTCCATTAAAGATGGGGAACTTGTTGACCAGCTAAACATACCATTAGCTTCTCAAGAACGACTCTGTCCCATGGAATTAACTATTTTGATGCTGTATAACAATGAAAATTTTGTTCTTCTGGGTTGTGATTCTGTGCATACATGTAGGTAGATACCAGTGTTTTGAAGAAACATCTATCAACAAGTCCACATGGTCTCACAACCCCGAAGGACACCACTATCATTTTAAATGCTGCGAGAACCTCAAATCGCGCTACACAGCAATTTTCTACTTGGTAAGAATCCCAAGGAATAGAGACGACAATAATGGCTGTATTCCGGGTTATAGCACCATGCAGTCTGGTAGAAGTTTACCATCATTTCAGAGGCAAATGCTGCCTTCATCATGAGGGTGATGAGTAAGCCATTTGTGTGAAATTAGTTCGAGATATAGGAAACTGTCAGGCAAGGCAGAGCCTTGGCTGAACCAGTGGAGAGTAGAGTCAGGATCAGGCGAGGGCCTGGGAGCCAACAGGAGTAGGGGCATGCCAAAGCATAGCCAGCAGGAAGATGAGGGACACGAAAGGGGGAAGACAAAGAAAGCAACCCTTATAAGGGCCCCTCGGGGTCCAGCAGGCAAATCACCAGACGTATGGGAGGTGGGTGGACATGATGAGGAGGAGCAGGGAGTGTGGAAATAAGGACTGGCTGGGGTTGAGCGGTGTCCTGAAAAGGACAGTGTAGTGGCCTAGTAGCGAGATCAGGACTGGAAATGCTGTAACAGATGCTTCCTACATCCTTTGAGAGAGTGCACGAGGGGCTTCCATGACCAGCTCAGGAGGCCATCCACTGGGACCCCTTACAATCCTAGCTATCACAAGTGCAGAAGGTTCAGATTTTGCACTGTCAGTCGACTGTCTGTAGCTTGTCTCAGTCCTCTCCTCCCCTTCCCTGCCAGTGTTACTTTGCGTAGGAGAAATGTCTTCAGGTATGTAGGGGTCACAGTCAGAGTCCAAACTAAATTCTTTGGCTATGTTTTTGCCTTGGAGCTATTCTTAAGTCTTGCACTCAGAAGAAATGTAATGAAATGGTTTTCAAGCTTCAGAACTTGAAACTAAAACACTCAGTGGTTCAAAGTCTCATGACACGCCTCCAGCAAGTGTTATGTCATACACGTTCAATAAATTAAAAAAAGGAAACTTCACAATAGCTTCCTGTATACTGAACTGTGAGTGAGAAGGGCAAAATGCCATGAAATAACACAACAAAATACACATATAAATTCATACAATTAAAAAAATAATGGAATAAAAATATTCACTACAGTAATTTCTACCAATTCCTAATTTTGAATACTGATGACAAAAACATAAGAAATAGCTGTAAATTTTAGGATGTTATAACCAGCCATATTTTATGATGCATAGCAATATAATGCTTTATCCAGGCGTTATGAAGCTTATACCACATTTCTTTGACATAGGCTATGGAGATTTTCTAGAAAGAAAAACAAATATATAAAATAACTGAACTGAGAACAAAAATAAATTAACTGATCTGCTTTTTAAGACCAGCTATTTAAAAATTTTGTATATAGGTAAATGTATTCATTCTTGACATTCCATTCTTCATTTGAAGCTTGCAGCTTAAAAACGTGGGAAATAAAATGTACTCATACGTTCTGACCCACCACACTTCAATGCCAGCTAACAAATATCATCATCAATTGAAGAGATTATGCGTATTCATCTTTTCTGATTGCAACGGCAGTCTCCTACACCTAGTCTCTCTGCTTAAATTAGAAGCTATATTTAAAATGTGACTCTAAATGTTATAAATGAAAATATTCAACATGTGCTTTCCAAGGAAAAAGGTTGCAGGTAGGTGAACTCATGACCTCTACTGTAATTCACTAATGAACACTCACATCTCCTCAAGCAGCTGCAACACATGCTTGTGCTCAATGCCTTCGAGCCAGAGCTTTTTGAGCTCATCCCTACGGCAGCGCAGCAGAAGCTTGCATGCCTGCAGGTTCTCCTTAACAGCATGTATCTTTTCTCTAGATGTCGTCACTCGGGCCGAAAGCTTTCCAAACAGCTAGAACATCAAATGAGATGTGATGATTGCAAAATATCTTCACTAACACTACATACAATGATAGCAGTAATGTCTTCACGGGCATAAAATCTCGATGTTAAATACAACTAAGCAGAAAGTAGAAACAATAAAAATAATAATAAAATAACTAATTCAATGGTTAAAAGTCTGGAGAAAAAGAGACAAATGAATCAGTAAATGTTCTGGACTTGGATATTCTGAAAGGAAGAAGAGATACCGGTAGACCAAAAACCAGGTGGTCCAACCATATAAACAAAAATGGCAAAGCATGGCCTATCTGTGATGTAGGTCTGTAAGTAAGTCAACAAGCATATGATAAGGTGTTTATGTATAATGATGAAGAAAAGCTGAGGAATTAGTCATAGTGACCTACTTCAAGGTTTATTTGTATGGAATAACTGGTCTGATTAATTCAAAGACAACATGAATTGACTTATGGGTGCTCCATATACCCACCTGCATGACTTGTGTGTGGTCCTGGTAATGCAGTGACACCAGTTCATCCAACCTTTGGTCACTGCGTTTATACTCTTTTTCTAGTTTGGCTTTCTCTCTGTCCCTCTGTTCATTTGATTCACTTGCTGACAGTGTACGGATGACAGACATCAGCAGCCCACTCTGAAAATAAATACATCCTCAGTGATATTTCAGTTCTCATAACAGAAAGTATAAAGATGGCTCTCTTCCGGGATATTTCACCATGTAGTCTGGTAGAAGTTTACTGACATTTCAGAGGTGCTTGCTGCCTCAGTCTTCACAGGGCACTGAGGATCAACGTCAACTACAACACCATTTAAAACACACAATCCTTCAACAACTGTAGTGTCTGATCCCAATTTAAACTTAAAAAAATACTTCATTATAATCATAACAAAGCCACTCCAACACCTGCCAAAGAATGAATTATAACTTGATTATACCAAAATTCAACTGTAAAGATGGCAGATACATAACGTGCAACAGGTCTAAACATGTATGGACATGAGTAACCATACAGTGGTGCATCACAATATTCGCAAAAAAATCTCCGACATCCATTAATGAACCAACATGAAAATGTCCACAACGGTACTTAAATGAACGCAGAGTGTTCTGGAACATTTTAAAATAAATCTTAAGATACATTTATGATAAATTAAGGCCAAGAGAAAATGACCAAAGTGACCTAAAATGGCATAATTGGTGACATCAAATGAACGAATAATTATTTGGAGCTATAATTTATGTAATAATGAGAATCCTACATGGATTAGGGGCAGAGTTATAAATGTTTCAGTACCATAAATTCTGGAATGAAAGAAAATTCAAAATTTCAAAATATTGTATCTCTATAATTGATAAAGAAAGGTAAAATTTTAAAAGCAATACGTACTTATCAGACACAGAAACTTCATCAAATTTCACTAAAATCCAAGGTGGTTACGATGTGTTTTGTTGCTATGGAATAAACCTATACTAAATATGAATCCTAACCTCAAAAGTAACGTAATTCCACTCATGGACAAATTGCTCATCCTATTTCATGCTACACACCACAAATAATTTACCTAATGCTGAGCTACATACATAACTACAACTTACAGTTTCTTTCGGATGTTTAACTCCCCGAGGGGGTTTCGTGGGTGGTGCAAGGTTTGACATTGTATTAATTTTCTTTTGACATTTGACACTTAAACCCAGATCATGTATTATCAATAATCTGACATGTTAGGAAGCACATCGGTAAACTGCACGCAGAAATCCGTGAATCACACTAACTCAAATTCATGAACCAACTTCATTCAAATCACTAATTATAGCCACACAGATTACAAATGCCATATAGTTCCTTCGCATCCGAGGTTCTCATTGTGATTGAGAATGTGATGACTGGTCATCTGGTGTTCATGATAAATTTAGTGTTAATCAATTCTAGGTCTTACATTATAAGTTTTTAATTAAGCATGTTATTAAATGTATACAATTCTGACGTGTTAAATAATAAAATAGCTGTGTCATTAGAAATACGGTGACATTTTAGAAAAAATGAAAAATTATGACAAAATATGATGGCAACACAGGTTATTTGGTGGGTTGGTATTATCCTTGGTCTAAAGGTAGATTTGTCTTTTGCCATCGCTTTTGTGTCGTCGACACTCCGCGTTTGGGAGGTGTCGGTTTCAAATCTCGACCTGAAGACGGCAGTCCCGTAAGCGAAACGCTGGGATAGTATCTTCAATTCGATATTACCGCACCCTCTCACAGCATTTCTGATTTACTGTTCATTAATCATCATTGGACACTAAATATTTAGTTCACAGCGTGCCATAGTAACCCAAGAAGAAACAAATAAATGCTGGGATTTTGATACTATAACGGCAAATTTCGAATTTCCGGTAATTTTTTGAGCAATTCATTTGTATGGATAATAGAGTTTTAAAGTAAGAAGGAAATGGTTACAATCCCCATTGTTCTTATGCCCTATCACCATTGCTGTCATCACATTTGAATTACCTTTATGGCATTTCACTGTATCTACTTACCAGGTGACTCCATGGCATAGTTTATAGTATTTTAAGTTTCACAAGTCCTTGCAATTAAGGACTGTGATAGTTTATGATACACTAACCCACAGAACTGCATACTGCCCATAGCCAACTAATTTACTTAATTCTTTCAACTCGAAGATTAATTATCCACTATTAATAAGTGCTACTAGAAAGCCACTGAGAAATGTGTAGACACTACACATCTAGTAGAGCTGTCAAATACATAACATCACATTCCTAGTGATACTGTACCAACAAATACATGGATTTTACACTGTTAGCTATAGTGCCTTGATGAATCCAGACACAGAATCCTTGGTGAGAATATATAGGAAAAACATAGGAAGTGTACCTACTTAGATTGCCTGGAGAAATATATGGACACCACAGTTCATAGCCAGAACCACAGGAATCCATTCCACACCTTCCCATGATCTCCTTCAGATTCAGCTTGATATTATGTCCCACTAGCCTAGGTCTTCCAAGTGGTGGTTCCTTTTGGGCTTCCTAACCAAAAGTTTGCTTGCATTTCTAATCTTCCCCATGCGTGCTACATGAACCCAACCCATCTCATCCTGCTTGAATGGATCATACTATGCTGAAGCTTACAAATTATACAACTCCAAAAATATGATTCTCTGCAGTCTCCTGTCACTTCATCTCTCATTGGTTCACACATCCTCAATCTGTTTTTCTCCATCCACACGAAACACAAAGTTCACACCCACACAAAAGAACCAGTACAGATACTTTAGTATATTTTAAACTTAATATTTTTATGTAGCTGCTGGGAGGGCTAAAGATTCTGAAATGCATGGTAGAAAGCATTTGCCAAATTTAATTTGCTTTGTGAAAGTAATTTTGATTTGTTACAGTCACTCCCAAATATTTGAACTTTGCCACATTTTCAAAGAATTTATTACCTACTTTTATGTAATAATTCTGTCATGTATAATGGTCAGAAGACATGAATATATAAGCACATTCCTTGCAGAATTCCATGAGCAAATGTCAACATTGCATCCCTAGTGAGTGTGTTCAAAAATACACATCACACCTTGTTAAAAGTCAAATAAATTCACACCTGCAAGTACAGGCAAACTATATACCAGTAGTATTAAATAACTTGTACTAGAGCTTAGTCAGTATGGAAAATCATAACAACTCAGAAAATGGCAGTCTGGATATAATCAGTACTGGAAATTTAACCATCAGAGTGTACATTGTCTGTATAATATGTTTAGTGACATGCTACAACCACCTCAACTATCCTAACACCCAGATATAATATTGCAATTTCAGAGTTTAAAAGCTTTGAGTTACAAAATTCTCCAACTTTATGAGAACTGGTTTTTCCAAATATGTGTAATAAATTCAATATCAGAATATACATTTAGTGAGAAGTTGCCATGTTGTTTGTCAAGGCATACTTGCTGCAAAACATTGCCAAGCTCCGTTGACCAATACAAATACACACGGTGACCAGCCATGCACGGAAGGGGAAGCAATAGTGCTCAAGGCATCTTGCTCCCCCTTTGCCTTTTCCATTTTACCTTGCCTTCTTACTGTGATGTAGTTCAGTCTTGCAGATAATTTGTGTCCACTATAGCTGCAGCAAACATTTCATAATTATAATCTGTTGATAGTCCATAAATCTTAATAACTTTCATGTCCCTAAAGACAGATTCTAACCATCAGATGAGCTCTGTAATTACAGGGCAGAGGAAGGTGCAAGTGTCAAGACAAGGGTTTGTGGAAAGGGCAGCTATACTTAAACAATTATTATTTTATTAATGGTTATCAAGCCTTATATGTACATAATGTAAAATGCTGAATTTAAAACATTTACCAATAATAAGCAAAGACATTCATCACAAAGTATTTATCAAATTCATGCAAAGTAGAACTCACTTTGCAAAACTTAGGGGCCCAAACTTTTGGACTTATCAGATATAGGCATCTGACAGAATCAGCTGACTTGCCACAGCTACCTGCAACTTGCAGAAAACACTGCAATGCATTTTGTGAGAAACTGGCAACTGAAGTTCTACAATGAGTAAAATAGTCCTCATTATATCTCCTCCATAGCCTCCTGAGTAATCTTGACCTTTTCCTTGTCCTTTTTCTTTTTCTTCTTCTTTTCCTTCACCTGAAACAAGAAGATAATACAATTACATAACCCAAGCCTCCAGCAAATATAAACATCAATGGCAGTGTGCCATCAAACACACAACAAAACATAATGCCTGTATTAATATATCAATTTCATTACCAAAGCACTGTTTACGATATACAGGCAGGACTCGGTTTACGCCGGGGTTAGGTTCCTGAGATTTACAGTGTAAATTGAAGCAAATATATAATGGAGTCGTTGCTACAGAAGATCTCGCATCCCTTATTAATAAGAGCAATAGCCTCTTGCATTGATTTCACTGTTAGTGTCCTAACCAGCATTGTGTGTTGGTCACTGTGCCCTTACACCCATACATAGAACTTTTGATGCCTCCCCTCCATACCCTGTCAATAAAAGGTACAGAGTATCAAACCTACAGGCCCAGAACTCATTTTATTTCAAAATGCAGAGTATAACTGATGATCCTCCAACAGAGGTGTAATTCTCTGGTGCAGATTAATTTGTGCCCCCACTCTAAGAAACTACTGCTGTAGCTACATTTACGAAAGTTTTAATCCGTGCACCCCGTGTATCATTCCCCAATCAAGGGCAATAACTCTCTTCACTGCCAAAACAAGCAACAAAATGACCTTCCAAACAAAGCTGTCTAACCTGTTATTTACCGCAGTATCGTCCATCCAGTCTTCTTCAAAACAATGTTTATACACACTATTATTAAAATATTTGCATTGTTTCTCTGTCAAAGAATTCAATTAACACTTCCTAATCATCCGCAATATAGACCAATTATCTCATAATTAAAAAATATTCGGATTAAGTCACACCTCAGATTCAGGGGATGTAAATTTGTAAAACAATGTTGGGGCTTATATTCACTTCAATATGGTATTATGTGACCCACCTAAGCAAGACAAAGTGACTGCATCATTACATACTGAACTAAACATTCCTCTATACATCCGTGTTGCATTCACACGGGTACCTCAATTAGTTCAGAAATATGACTTTAAAATGCAGGTTTTCTTACAAATGGGTCAAATACTATAGGTTGGATGGACATCTGAGAGGCTACTCCTGAATGTGAATTACAAAAAAAGGTTGTGAAACTTTTTTAAATTGTTAAATTTTGTTGTTCATAACAGAAATCACAAAAACACTAGGCAGCGAAATGACACATTAACGTGACTGAAAATTTCTTTGCCCCCAAATGTTTGACTGTTTCACAAGGATGAAAACACTGAACTGAACTTTATGAGGAAATGTGTACGCACAACTGTCTCCTCTTCTTGTACTCCCACATCTTTTGCCTCATCCACGTCCATTTTCGTCTTCTTTTCCTTCTCTACAAGTGTGGTGCCCGGAAAGGGCGGGGAGGAGGCTGGGGATGCACTCAGCTTACGCTGCACAACAGAACAGACAAAATTAATTTCAGTTGCAGTATTTGTTTCCATTTCTCCTGCTATTTTCCAGATAGTCAATCATTGATCATTTCTTGTCACTTCAATCACATTTACCAGGCTTAGATCATCCACACAGCTTCTCAATACTGAAACTGCTTAATACACCAAAAATTCTGTTTCACTCAATGTTCTTTCTCCATAAAACTTGCTGCAACATAACCTAACATTTCATGTTGACTCTCTGTTCTACCAATTTATCATACATATTTTTGACAAATAAAATGAATACTGCAATAATAAAACACTTACTGCAACCATCAAACAAACCGAATTCCAAATATGGCTGTCAATGAGAACTTCAACTTACAAACTGAATACCAATTCCTGGCATAATTAGTCTGAATAATGTAGTTACACAATTCGACATGCACCAACTCACCACCTGCTGTACAGACACACTGATCCAATTATATGTGATATTCCTTGCTTAGAACAAGACATTTTCCTCAGCACTTTTATTTTCATATAACTGCCATTTATGTCGCTACTTCAAAGTATCAGACCATATCTGAGAATAACACAAAGACATTGGTAAAATGACTATCAGGCAAGATTAAGACCAATACCTTGCGTGACTGTTCCTCCACATGCTGTTCCTTCTTGACAGAACTGCAACAAAGCAACAAACTGATTAGCACGAGCACCTGACACCAACAACACAACATACACATGTATTAACCTGGGGACTCACCTGTAGTCCACATAGCTAGTCAGCCATGAACTTGGTGTCTGCTCATTTGGTTTCCCAAATTTATCCAACAATCCTTGTTTGATCAATGTTTTTTTAGCAGATGCCTGAAATCATAAGCATTGCAAAGTAAGTTGCATCCACACTACTGTGACAGTTCCAAGTCAATGCACGTGAAGATTTTAGACAAATAACAGGAAACACAGAACTGGCGATGAAATTATTGGGGATCATCAATGTCGGTTTCATTGTAATAGCTCTACAACAGATCAATTTTTTTACATTCGCCAGATACTAGAGAAAAAGTGGGAGTACAATGGGATGGTCCAATGAGGCCTATGACTCAATTAAAAGAGAAGCTCTTCACAATATTTTGCCTGAATTTGATGTACCTAAGAAGTCAGTCAGGCTAATTAAAATGTGTTTTAAGTGAAACCTCTAGCATAACTCATGTA